AGCAAGCTGGCTAAGTATATAAAAGTGCTTGCTGCCAAGACTGGAGACCTGAGTTCGATTCCCAGGGCCCACGGGGTGGAAGCAAAGAACCAATGACCACCAGTTGTCCTCTGACCTCCACAGGTGCAAGCTGTGACATGTGGTCACCTGCATACCCCTCCCACACCCAATATATAAACAAGTGTGAACCAATAATAAGTCAGTGCTGGTCCCATCTCCCCAGTGCTCTAGTGCAGAGTAAATGAGTCTGGGGCAAGCGCTCATAACCGGGCCTGGCTCTTAACCAGTTGTGACGTTTCATTCCTGATGGGCAAGGAATAACTTCCTATCTTCCCAAGTTTCTCCTTTTCGGGGGAGTGGGTCATTTAGACCATCATCTCGGCACTAACCCCTCACCCCACCTTTTCCTTAAAACAGCATTCTTCCTATCCATGGACACCCAGAAAACTGGTTCTATTTGCTTAAATATGGAGCAGGTACGTGGGAAGGGGTGGGGAGGTGGGTCGGGGGCCACACATGGTCCCCACCCCTCTAGTCCTGTCCGCTCTCCATCCTCTGCAGAATGCCTTCCTTTCTCTGCTCTCCTTCCAGTGGCTGCAGATAACCATGTGGGGGTAGGGAGATCCGGAGCCTGGCCCCCTCCTTCTGCCGGTGGTGCTCCAGCCAGGATGGTGGGTGCTCCTTGTCACCCTTACTCTCCAGTGCCCCGGACAGTGTTTACTCTGTGCCCAGGCTCCGGGCTCACGGGAGCTCTAACCCCCAACCTCACCCCACCCACCCCGAGCACTCTCATGCTCTGAGTGTTTTGACTGAAAATTAGGTGGACTCCTCCTCCTCCTCCTCCTCGGTTTTCCCTGGGGAAGGCAGCCTTGCGGCCAGCTTGGTATCTCCATATGCTATCAACTCACGCCTGTCTTCTTGCTGAGAGGATTTTCCATGGCTCCTCTCCTCCCCACCCCACCCCCACCCCCGCCACGGACATTATTCTAATAAACAGGACATGGTTTGCCACTTCCTTGACACCAAAGAGGGGATCCACTGTATCTCTGGGAAGCATCTACAGATGTGTTTGTCACAATTGCTAAGGGGCACTCCACCGTCCCAGGATGCTAAACACACCCCAGTCCCATGCCTATGAGAAAGTTAGGAACTATTAGGCAGGTTGAGCCATGTGGGGTGAGGGGCACCACTGGACCAGCTGCCAGCGAAGCCTGAGCTTGGACTGGCAAAGCCAGAGGCTACAAGGCCCTGAGCCGACTCTGGCCTCCTCTCCCTCAGACTGGAGCCCTTCCAAATACGGCACTGCCGGGCAAGAGCCAGCCACCAACAAGCCACACAAGGAGGGGTCCCTTCTGGTGTGAGACTGGAGGTCTCTGTTCCTGCCGCTGCACAGGCTCCTCTAGGCCCGCTGGCCTGGGAGCAGCTGCCGTTTCTGTTGTCTCCCATCCCCCA